TCAACATACATCACCTTTAGAAGCAAGTTCCTCTTTTATTTTAGTCACCCAGTCTATTATTCCGAAATTCATATCTCTTTAAAATACTATCTATTAAGGTTGCATACCCCTTAAACTGAGATTTGCCTAGATATTTTCATTTATATGATTTCGTCCCATTGCTGCCAAAAGTCACTAACTTACTTTTTATCACTTTCGAGAAAAATGCGTCTAAAAATGAATTGCATTGCATAAAGATGTTATAGTTAGTAACTATTCGGTATTAAAATAAAACATAAATAGCCAGAAATCGTAGTTAATGGCTTTTGCAATCGATTCTCCGCTTCAAAACATAGTTAGTGATTGAATTTGACTGTTCGGAAAAATGTTAGTTAGTGACTTTTGGCAGCAATAGGACGATTTACTGTCAGTAGATCTTTATTATTTGATACATTCTAGGTGGCTGTGATATGTCTGATGTTACGTTAACATAGCTATCAGATTAGTTCAACTTTAACAACTAGTTATCATTCTGTGTCAGTTAAAAGAGAAAAATAATTCTCAGAAACATTCGCAGAGAATGGAAACTAAAAGAGGCAATTGATGTGTTCATATTAATTGGTGACTGCAGTATACATTCACCAATTAATAGAATAATTAAATGCATCTGATCTAATATGGACTTTTTTTATGAGGATATGTAAAAAAAATGTTTACAAAATTCCAGCAACTGTTGTAGACAACATAAGAAAAATGCTTGTGGCTGATTTTCGAACTAGAATTCTACATATATGTTATTTAACATGGAAAGATCTTTTGAAAAGAACATAATTTTATGCAGTAAACAAGAAAGGAATCATTTTGAGAATGCTATTTCATCTAGCTAACCTATAAGCTATGTAATAATTAAAATATGTTTTAAACGTATATCTTTTTATTATCGTTGAATATTTTATACTACACCTTCTAATTCTTTTTAAAGTAACAAAAAATATTTCACAGTCACCTAGATTTTATCGAATAATAAGTATCTACTGGCGCAAAATCATAAATATGAAAATATCTAGGAAAATATTTGTCTAAGGGGTAGACAATCTTATTAGTATTTTCAATGAATTCTCCACTGAATATCGGGAAATATACTGGGTGTTTCTTTTAAAATAAAGGAGTAACTTGGTTTTAAAAGTGGCCAATTTTCAATATGAATTTGGTCTTTTCGGGCCAAATTTCAATTTGTTTTAACATACAATAGTTATTTTTTATTTAGGTAGCTATTATAGAAATTAGAAATTTAATATTTATTCTTCATTTTCACAAAATATGTCAAAATCCTTACATTTTAGACATAATAGGTTTACTTAATCACTCACCTTTATTTGATTCCAAGAATCCGAAAATCAATTAAAAAAGGTATATGGGCGTTCCATTACAAATAACCCAACTTTGACCCGTAATTTTTTGAGGGGCACCCTGTAGAACTCTCTATATTTTTACATAATGCTTTTAATTAATCTACATATACTCCCAAAATTTCATTTCGATATATACTACCGTTCTCCTTGGAGCCTCCGTGTGCCTCCGTGTCGTATGAGAGGCGCCACCCTGTATTTAAGATTCACCCTGTATTACCTTCTTTCAATTACGAACATAACTCGAATTAATGTCTCTTCTGAAAGAAAACTTTCGGATGAGAGTTGCTTTCGGCCTTCTTTCATCCTGATGATGCTCGAAAATCATGAAAATTGGCATAAAAGAATAAAATTGACTCTGTGACATCAAACATTTGTTTTGGCGTCAGGCGAAATAAAAAGCCTTTGTTAGAGACGGATGCTGGCTTTTTACATTCAAATAAATAAACAATGTTATTTCGTATAGTCCGCCATTTCTTATTTCTTGTAAGTTATTGCTAGTCATAAAGGCATAACAAAAGAGCTCAGTGACTGGTTTCTTGGAAATAGAAGGCAATTTTTATATTTTTATTACATTTTATATAAGAATTTGAAGGGTTTGCATTTTATCTTAGTAACGTTTAACAACACCATGAATGATTTTTCAGTAAATTTGAAGTCTGTATCGAGAAGTCTTTTGAAATTATAGTGATATTGTGAAAATATTGTTCAATATTCTCATTTTTATTAGACATAATATTTAAGGTGTTATGTGTCGTACTGCTTTATGAATATAGAGAACTACTCATACAGTTTTTTTTTCAAAGTTAAGAAGCTAATTTAAAATATTTTTTTTAAATACTAACTACAGTTTCAAACTCGGTTTCTTTCCCAATTTAGGAGTCAGATTAAAAAAAAATAAAGCCTAATAAAAGTTTTATTACAGTTATAAATAAAATTAGTAGCAGTAGTTAATATAAACATATACAGGGTGGCCCATCGAAAACGTTCCGCAAGGCATAACGGCCAAGGTATATTTTTTTTCAAAAAATCCAAAAACACGTCAATATTGTTTGTGAGGGGGACAACTTTTGCCCCAAAAATGTTTGCAAAATCTTCAACCCTCTAAGCGGGAGTGTCATTCCCCAACTTTTTTCAAATGGGCAGGGGGGTCAAGTGGCGCCGCAATGAAAAGAGCTTTCTATTCTCTATATTTCCCCGCCTCCTTTTTGAAAATCGGTCGAGTCATTGAGAAAATATGAAGGATTGAAATTTGAAAAGTTTATTTAAACATTTATTAGAATAAATAATAAGGATAAATTCCTTCGACTAATTTGAGTTTTTTCTTATTATTTCTAGATGTTTACGCATTTTTTCACTTGCCACAAGGTTGAACGATCAGGTGCGGTAGTTGCTAGATAGCTGTTCTGTGACTTGTGCGTTGAAGTTCTTCTCGATATCGTTAAACTGACCCACAATAGAATTTCCAAAAATACCAGCCCACACGTTCAATTTCTGAGGGTTTTGTGTGTGCACCTCGTGAAAAACCTTGGGGTTCTCCTCAGCCGAGTACCGACAGTTGTGCTGATTAACTACACCGTTCAAAAAGAAAATACACTCATCTGAAATACACACATTAAATAGGAAATTATTATCATTCGCCACTCGTTCACTCATAGTTTCACAAATAAATATTTCCTTCCTCTATTTTTCACAAGATAAATGTTTCACAAGATAAATGTTTAAATAAACTTTTCAAATTTCAATCCTTCATATCTTCTCCATGACTCTACCGATTTTCAAAAACGAAGCCGAAAAGTATAGAGAATAGAAATCACTTTTCATTGCGGTACCACTTGACCCCCCTTCCCATTTGAAAGAAAATGGGGGATGACACCCCCGCTTAGAGGGTTGAAGATTTTGCAATAATTTTTGGGGCAAACGTTGTCCCCCTCATGAACAAAATTGACGTGTTTTTGAATTTTCTGAAATAAAAATTACCCTGGCCGTTATGCCTAGCGGAATGTTTAATATTTAATGATATTTTATTACAGTTATAAACAAAATTAGTAGCAGTAGTTAATATAAACATATATTATGAATAGTTAATAAAGAGACAAAATAAAAAATTATAAGATTCTGGATAATTAAGAACTATTAGGGTTGTTTTAACTCCTATAACTTTTTTATTTTTCAGATAAAAAAATGAGATTTAGTATGTTAGTAACTGTTCTTGATTTCATTTGCAGTAATATTTTCACTGGCATCTAAATATTAGCAAAATATTAATTAATAACTTTCATAAAGCTAAATAAATAAAAAAACTGTTCGTTTGTAAGAAATCTTAATATGTGTATAATGTGAGAAAATTGTGCACCTATACTCTGTTTTTTTTTTCTCAGGTACGATTTCGACAGAAGAAAAGCAGATAACGTCCCATACCAATCTATTTATTTTACTAAATAAAGTTTCTAATATTTTCTAAGTTAACTATGGATGGGTTTAAATATAAAGCCGTCATGCGTCGTCTCTTGTTGTTTTTAACCAGTTTTATTGGTTTATTTTAAAAATCACAGATCATATTTCAATTTTATTGGTTTGACGGAACGATGAACGACAAACGGACGCCGGCGGCCGATGCGTATGAACTCGCCTTTAGATTTTTGAGGCTTGTCAAAGTCTTGCCAAATTATAAGTTATAATTTTGAGTCAACTTATGTCAAATAGCTGCGTTTTGGAAGATGATGCATTTTAATTTGTTATTATATAACAAACAATTATTAATTATATATTATTACGTGTGTTTTGTGTCTTTTAAAGTCAAGTGGAGGAAAAATCGAGGGAAAATTAACTGTAGACCCAGAGCACAGTTTATAGTTAATACTCGCTGCCCAGGCAGAAAGTCTTATACACCAATAAAGTTGCCATCAATAAAGTTTGTATACCATCTTATCGTAGATAAGTTCATCTCGTATATGCTACAAGGATCATACTAAACATATACTACTGGAGTAGCTTTAAAATATCGACATCACAAGAAAGCTAAATAATGGATTTTAGTACTACAGAAAAATAATCTCAAAAGGTACTGGTTTAAAAAAATAAGATTAAGGTATAAAATTGGGTAAGTATTATTATTAATATAATAGTTTGTCTTATTTATGTTATTTTATTTATTCCTGTGGAATATTACAAATTTGAATTTGTACATAAGTTATATTGATAAATATAATAATACATGCTGGAAGTTTTTTGAAGCTTGAAAGTAAGAGATAGTTCTTTTTTATATTTTTTTTTTTTTGGTATGTGGTGTTTTGTTCTTGTTTGTTTTGTATTAACACATACCGTTTTTTAATAAAATAAGTCGATTACATTTTTTCAGTTTTATACAGTTTTTATTCAAAATATTTTGAAGTAATCACTTAGCAGTCAAATTTTAAATAGATTAATTTCCTGCTATGCGTTCCAGTTGTACCAACTAATTTCTTTGTAAAATAAAGTAAACTAGTTTGAAATTAAAATGACAGACACATCTATCAATGTCAAGGATCTTGTCGTTGGACAGACTATATATACATTTTAATTTTAAAAAATGGAATATAATTGCTCATTAAACATGCCGGAAAAACTTACATTGACGATGAAACAAAAAAATCCAACCACGCAACAAACTAACTTTCCAACCCCTAAAACCACCTTATAATCAATGTCATTTTAAGGAGAACGTTAACACTGTCAACCAATCTCTCAACAACAATTTTTCGTGAACTTCACGAAAGTATCTCTGATATAAATCGCGCGCCGATTGACGATCTTTCGCCCAGGTTTACCGCCGGCTTCGGCACACAGCTCCCCACAGCGAAGTCCGGCACAAACTGGCAAACTCCCGAATTGTGTGGAACTGGTGGTGTGTGCCGGTAACGGGAGTCGGGAGTTGGAAATTACCCACGGCGACGGTGCGAGATATGGGTCGCTGGAAATTACGCGATACGGAGGGACTCCGGCCGGTGGTCGGAAGTGTGCCCCGTTCACTTTGTAAGGTTATGATTAATGGGAATTTTGCAGAGAACATGAAGAAATCGTAATGATATATAGAGAAAAAATGTGACATTTTGAGTTATTTAAGATTCCTTCCTTAATATGTAGTCAGTGAGATCGACAGAAAAAACAATAATAAAAAATTCGCTAACGCCGCCGCTTGGGGGGCAAACGGCTCTATGTAGTATTTTAAAGGTATGGTTTCGCTAAGGCGGAATAGTAAAAAATTGGGCTAGTTTTATTGATAAGGCGAAACTTTTTATAGTTATCCTCTTCAAATCAGGTATATGTATACAGGGTGGAGCCTCTGGAACAATTTTAAATTTCAATAAAAGCGGATTAAATTGGAATTTACCCGGTATATAGCCTAATATATATAATTAAAGTAACTATTGTACTTTAAATCAAATTAAAACTTGACTCAAAAAGATTTACAAGATGAGACACAATTAGTATTGAAGATTGGTGTTTGATGTATTTCAATACATGTATGATTTGATGTATTTCATATTTTAATACAAACTGTCGTTCTCCTTGGAGCCTCTTTGTCGTATGAGAGATGTCACCCTGTACAAACGGGCATTTTTGTGTTTTAATAGTTTTGTTCCAACGCCGCAGAGAACCATACTCGGTACGGTAACGCCTATGCGCAATGGAGAAAATACGTTCCAACCACGAGAGAATCCTTTAGTGAACGATAGCTTTTGTGTTCCAACAAGAGCTTTTATCGTTAGTGAATCGATTGTGGGGCTGTAATTTCGATACTAGCCTGAAGCAAGAATCATAGGAACTGACCTGCGCATTAAGAGTGTGTCAGCAGATTATTAATATTTTCTGGCCTTCAATTTCCTTTAGCCATTTCTCTTTTTAATTTTGACAGTTTATTTATCTGTTGTTTTGACGACGTTTGATAAGGGAATCAAATCCCATCTTTAGGCTCAGATCACAAAAAAGTCACTGCATCAATTATACCAAATCAGAAACCAACAGGTCATCAAGTATAAAAAGATATTTCAACAAATAATGAACCTTAAATAAATCTAAGATCTAAAATTAAGAATTAAAAAGTTAAAGATGGATGTGAAACAGTTATAGATGGTATCATTGCTGGAGACAATTGATTTATTTAACATCTGGCACATAGAACTGCAGCAAATGCACATTATTTGTTGAAATATCTTTTCATCTTTGATGACCTGTTGGTTTCTGAGTTGATATAATTGATGGAGTGACTTTTTTGTCTTCTGAGCCTGAAGATGGAATTTGATTCCCGAAACATGTAGCCTCCCTTTTTTTAAATAGTAGAAATTTAAAATAAAAATTGTTATACAAGATTATGAGCTTGAGTTTCCTGTAACTCCCCCCCACCCCCCAGTAGAGGATTTTAACTAATAAATAAATCTCCCTCGCAATTTATTAATTGTCTTAAGGCCATTCTCACGTCTAACTTGGCAGGCAGTTTTTATTGGCATACAGGGTCTGGCGATAATGCGGCGTAGTTCCTATAATAAACAACTTAGAAATTCTGTATAGATGCACCATGCATACCCTGTGTACCAATTACAAATGTTTGTCAAGTACACGAGTCGTGAGAATGCGCCATTATTTTTCATATACTGTTCAAGCACATAAATACGCACATAGGACAATCGAGAAAAAACAGCATCCAGTTGGCTTTGAAATGACGATCCATGATATTCTCCATATAATTTTACATATAAAATGACAGCGATCTTCATTTCATAGTCATCGCTAACGCTGTTTTTTCGATCATATTTTACTTACTCAAAGTACTTACCTACTAATACAATATGATTGGAAAAAAACCACAGTCAGTGATGGCTATGAAATGAAGATCGCTATCATTTTATATGTAAAATTATATGGGAAATGTCATCGATGTTCATTTCAAAGCCAACTGGATGTCGTTTTTTTTTTCGATCATACATAAAACTCGTATAAAAATCTATCTAACCCTTAGATCTAACTAAGTGTAAGGCCACAGCTGCCAGGGTGAATTCTAAAATCGCTTCACAAACCGTTCCAACAGCATTCAATTTTGGTATGGTAACAGAACTGTCCAAAGTGTCCAAGTCGACACATGCGGACAAATTCGATCCCGGCAATACCAATTACCGTTCTAGAACGGTCCTAATTTCTGCGTGGGAACGAAGCTAATGAAATTTCTTCATGATCCGCTGAAAAATGCACCGTTTTTGCAGAGCGCCTACTATTTGACTAGTATATCTAGCATTTAGTACACATCGGCTGCGACTAGATCACAGCAGCGTTCAGTCGCCACTAAAATACGGTTCGAAACCACTAAATACACAAACAACATTGAAGCAATCGTTTGTAACTCGCCGCAGTCGCGAGTCGTAGCCGCCACACTAGCGACACCAGCGAAACAATATAAAACATAAAACTGGATTATATTTTTTTTACTAAAACACCCATAGTTAGAAGTCATCGAGGAAGTCATCTACAATTACAGAGCAGAACATGAGTTGCAAAAATTATGGTATATGAAGAGCCTCGGTCTGTTGGAAGTGCAACGTTCGGTTTGCAAGCTTATGATTAATGGAAATTTGGAAAAGGACATGAAAAAATAATATCAGTGACGAGAACCATGTCTGGCGGTGCTTAATGGATGTTTAAAATTGATTAGACCTCGTAGAGCTTTCAATGTTAAATATACAGTAAGCTCCAATCAACGATCATATATCACATACAGGGTGGCACCTCTCATACGACACGGATGCTCCAACAAGAACTGCAGTTTATATCGAATAGAAATTTTAGAAGAGTAGGATACGTAGGTTAATTGAAAAAATTATATAAAATTATGTAGAGATCTACAGAGTGTCCTCAAAAAAGTTGCATCAAAGGCATCAAAGTTGGATTTTTGAAGTGAAACTTCATTACGCGCGTTGGGAGTAAAAATTCGAGGCTGTGACACACACTTTTTGACACATTTTATGAAGATGAAGAATAAACTTTAAATTTCAATAACAGCTACCTAAATTTTAAATTACCCTGTTTAGCTTAATATTTTGTTAAAATAACCATTGTATGTTAAACTAAATTAAAAATTGACCCATAAAGTCAAGTAAAATAATTGATATTGAACATTGGTCAATTTTTAAAGGAAGTTATTGCGTTATTTTAAACGAAACACCCAGTATATTATTCCCCGACTTTCAATGGAGAATTGTATATACAGGGTGAGTTTCCTACGATGTTCTCTATGGGCATCTCGGAAACTGCTGGAAATAGAGAGTCGGTTAAATGGTGAAAGAATTGCAGTTTTGTGTATGGTGAAAGAATTGCAGAATTGCAGTATTTGTTTTATAAATATGCGCCTTTCAGATTTTTGAAAAAGTTCATGGCTTACTAGATATTTCGAAAAAAAACAAATTTCGGCTATTTTGAAAATTGTCCCTAACTCCATTATAAGCTGTTTTAGACAAAAAGTTTTCAGATAAAAGTTGTAGATAATCACATTCCTAATGACACAAATATATGTTTTTTTAAATGGAAACCATAGTTGGCCATGACTTCATAAAAAGCGCCATTTTTTAAGCTTTTCAGCGATATAAGCTATAATATGTTTTCTTCGAAAAATTACAGAGTTATAGCCAATTCTTATCATTTTTAAACAATTTCACTTAGTTAGCCATGGAAACAAGTTTAATCGTCTTTGCTCTCGAAAATGTGAAGCTGTCACATCCAAATTTTGTAAATTAAAATAAACAAAAATTGTAAATATGAATTTTTCAAATGAAGAAAAGCGTGTAGATACTCCCGCATCAATAGTGTGGTTCAACATGACTTTTATTACGACCCCCCTCCCTTATAATTAAAGAAATGTTAAAAATTATTTACATCATAATTATGCAAACTCAGGAATAGAAAGAGGTGGATCCATTGCATGGGCCTCCTCGATCACCTGACATATCCATTTTAGATTTTTTTTATGCGGTATGGTTAACAATAAGGTTTACAAAAGAATTTGTGAATTAAGAGAGGCACTCGAAGTGGCGGTACGAGAGAAGTTTAATTAAGTCCACCGGTCCTTCTATGAGAATAGTTAGTAATTCAGTTTTAAAAAGATGCAACTCTCTCACTCTCTCTCTCTCTCTCTCTCTCTCTCTCAAAACAATGGCGGATTTTCTAAAATAACTTAAAGTTATGCAGTGATATTATTTTTTAGTTTGTGTAATGTAAATTGTAAGAAACCGTTTAGTAATATATTCTAACTTTTTATAAGTTTTATAAATCATAATACCATGCAATCCAATTGAAATTAACAAAGACAGATCAGAATTGGCTATAACTAAATGTAACTTTTCTAACATGTCTTGAAAACCGTTCTCTAAAAAACGTAACATTCACCGGTTAACGTATCCTCGAAAATGTATGGTCAAGAAAAGTTGAACCAATAATCCTACACGCTTTTCTGCATTTGAAAGATTTTTACAATTTTTGCTTATTTTAATTTACAAAGTTTGGATGTGACAGCTTCACATTTCCGAGAGCAAAGACGATTAAACTTGTTTCCATGGCTAACTAAGTGAAATTGTTTAAAAATTATAAGAATTGGCTATAACTCAGTAATTTTTCGAAGAAAATATATTT